GAACCCACCACCTTAGGTGTACGTGGCTGGCGCCTTAGCCGGTTGAACTATAGGCGCCGAGCCGGCAAGGTAGATTCTTGAGAAAATAGAAACTATTTCTTTTTAAAAGGCTGACATTTAGACATTTTAGACAAAATTTTTTAATTTAAATCAGAATCTTTTTTCCAATCAAAAGAGTTTGAGTTTAATATATAAAAATTGTAAGTTTGGGGTATTGCAAATTTAGAATTGTTGTATTAATTACTATTTATATAGTTGTCAATATGAAATTATTATTCATCGAAAAGATGAAGCACAGCTGTGTGTTTGGCACTGCAGTGTATTACTACATTTTTGAATCTTATTCTCCTCAGGCTGTTGGGAAGTATGGCATTGTCTAATCACTATCGTTCTGAAGATTTGTTGGACGTCGATACAGCTGCCGGAGGATTCCAGCAGAGACAGGGACTGAAATACTGTCTCCCTTTAACGTTTTGCATACATACTGGTTTGAGTCAGTACATAGCAGTGGAAGCTGCAGAGGGTCGGAATAAAAATGAAGTTTTCTACCAATGTCCAGTAAGTAGGAAGTGTGTCTAAATGTGGCTTTAAGATGTGTTCTGATGATTGTATACATCTGTGCATTAGGTATTTCAGGGTTGTAGAATGGGTATAGAACTTTATGTAGTTTAATTACAGACCAATCTAGAAGCTAGAACGTTCATATTCTAACATAATGGCCTGAAATGCCAAAGGAAAATGTTATCAACTGGGCAGACAGTGCAAACCAAAGTGCACATGCAAAGGGAGAGCTTTGGTTTGTGTGAAGGTATTTAAAGTTTTAGGAAAACTAATGAGGAGCTTTTTGGTGCAGTATTTAATTGTAATATATGTTTCTAACTTTCTGAAAATTTAGCTTTTGAACATCCTTTGATTGAAGTTCTAAGTACAATAGAAACTTTTTTAACTCTCTCAGTAGACATTTGATTTGTTGAAAACTATGATTCCTAGAGACCTTTCTCCTAAGTGAAATTTCACAAGAATAGAAAAACATCACATGTATGCTGTACTAAATTGCAACTAGTAGGTCAGTAACCTTACTGCTCTTCACTACATTGCATTATGTAAGAATAATGCACTGAAGTTCAAGTTGGGGGGAGGGAGCCAAGGCCTGGGTAAATTCCCATGTGATGGGTACATTGCAGGTGTATGTTGCACAATTCCTGGAGGAAGGACACAGCTACAGTTTGGACTTTAACTTTATAAAAGCAAACTGTGTAACCAAATTGTTCTGTACTCCCATATTAATCTGAAAATTTAAAAAGTGTAGATCCTTTTTAGGAGAATTTTATGGTTATGTAACCACAGAAAATGTTATAGTATTGGTTTTATTTTTATTTTTTTAGTTCTCCATAGTTCCTTACTATGGCCTCTACCTTCATTTTTGCCTAGTCGTGAAGTTTTTACTTAAAAAAAGAATTTAAAATACAAAATCTTTTCAGAGTCAACTTGAGATGTATGTCTCCATATAACACTTATTATTTAAAGAACTTTCTCATCTTTTAATTTTTTTCAAGCTTTTTCACATGGTTTATCTCATTTTTGACTTTACATCTCTCTAAGATTGGTAGGATGGTGGCTTGGTCTTTCCATTTACCAAGAGGCATGACTAACAAAGAATTGTTCAGGTCTCTTGACTCTGAATCCCAGACCCTCTCTTCTAGGATAATAAGCCATATATCTTCTTGCCCCAGTTTTCTAATTGTTTTCTTTTTTTTTGAAACCCAGAGTCTCACTTTGTCAGCCTCAGTAGAGTGTAGTGGTGTCATAGCTCATAGCAACTTCAAACTCTTAGGCTCAAGCAGTTCTCTTGCCTCAGCCTCCCAAGTAGCTGGGACTACAGGCGCCCGTCACAACGTCCTGGCTATTTTTAAAGACAGGGTGTCACACTCTTGCTCATCTGGTCTCGAACTGGTGAGCTCAGGCAACTCGCCTCAGCCTCCCTGAGGGCTGGGATTACAGGCGTGAGCCACCACGCCCAGCTTCTAATTATTTTCTTGAAGGATAATTTCCTAGTATAATAGCAAGCACTATATAAGTGTTTAACTTTTGAAGAGTGTCTGACTCTTCTAAAGACTTTATAGAAAGAGCCTTAAACATAGAAATCATAAGAGCAGGAACTTAAAAGTATGAGGAATATCTCACATTGGTTGGAACACTTAGGTTGTTTTTATTTTTATCTGTTTCGCCCTGTCTCCAGAGAAAGATAGAAATAACGAACAGTGAGAAATTAAGTAGAATGTATTTTCATCAATTGTATTCTTTTTCTTACCTAGGACCAAATGGCTCGGAATCCAGCTGCCATTGACATGTTTATCACAGGTAGGAGAAGAAAAAGTCTTGTTTTTCTTTTTCCTTCTTTGTCCAGATTAAAAAAATTAAGGTGTTAAAAACTTAAATTGAGCAACTGGCAATTTTATACTTATATTTCTTAAGGTTTGTTGGTTTATAAGGTACTGTATCTAGGTACTCATTAGAACAGCTCCCATATGTTTGAATTTTTTTCTATTTGGAAAAAGTCAATTCCCGTACATTCTTTTTTTTTTTTTTTTTGGCCAGGGCTGGGTTTGAACCCACCACCTCCGGCATATGGCGCTGGCACCCTACTCCTTGAGCCACAGGTGCCACCCAATCCCTGTACATTCTTTTCTTCTAGGACTCTTCTGTGGAACACTGAAAGACATAGATTTGCTGTGAATGTGTATAGTTCCCTTAACACACATTTTCTATCAATCCCATTTATATATAATTGGAGATAAAGATTATATAAAGCAACTTTATACTTTTTCTCTGCTTATGCTATAGTAAGATATTGATAAGTTACATTAGAGACTTCAGAAGCAGCAGTCTTCATAGACCAGTGTAAACTGTGTGCTTCATAAACTCCTTGGTACAACTATTTTTTTCTTGGCCTTAAATATTTCTTACAGATTTATGAGAACCCTTCAGTTTGTATGCAAGTGCAGCCTTTTGCCTTGCTTATGTTTTGCTCACCTAAGAGAAGCTTCCTGACTATCCATTCTGCTTTTCAAAGGCATTGCTGGCACATATTAAACATCCCCATATATTAATAACAAAGGATCTTGATAGGCTCAGGCCATCTGTATTTAATTACATTTTCTTACTAGAAATTTGAACACTGTATCAGTTTCCATCTGCTTCATACTCTGGCACATTCCATGTTATGGTGTACTACTCTACAATATCCAGAAGATCTCACCCCTACCTAGTCAGTTATAGGAAGCTTTTAAATTTAGGCCCTAGCTTCAGCTCACTCTGACCCATGTGGTGTCTGGTTTCCAAGCTAAGCATCCTCCAGAGGCTGTGCCTGTGCTCATTGCCCTCACTGGCATTTTTGTGCAGCACCCTCTGTCAGAGATAATTGTTCTGGTTCTAGTCCAGTGGTGCTACTCAGTTTATAAACTAAAGGCTACTTGAACACTAAGGGAAGCTGCCGGCTAGACCCTGTTAGTTTCTTTCTTTTAGTGTGATGCTCTTCTGACATGGTGTGGAAAACTTCACCACTACAGCAGAGTATTAAAGTCTGGCAATACCATTCTAATAGCTAGGATTTCTCCTAGAGTGGGAGAACAAAACAAAAGATTTGAAATAGCCCTGAAAAAAAAATGAAGTGGCAAGTTAATGATGGGAGGACTAATGAGAAAGCAGCTTCCTTTAACCTAAATTGATAAAACTTCAATACGTCCAGAGCTATCAGAGATTCTAAATAATGGTTTTACTTTAAAAGGTAATTACCTTGCAGTATATAAATTGCATCTTGATTCAGCCTAATTTTACGCTCTTAGAATTTTGGTAATATATAAGATGGCATCTGCTGGCATTCAGTGTATTATTAGTAGATATTAACGTAGCTAAGTAGGTGACTCATAATCTTAGCACTTTGGGAGGCTGAAGCTAGAGGATTGCTTGAGGGCAGGCCCAACCAAGAGCGAGACCATGTCTCTACAAAAAACAGAGAAAGTAGCCAAGCTTGGTACCACATGCCTATAGTTTCACCTATGCAGGAGGCTGAAGCAGGAGGATTGATTGAGCCCAGGAATTTGAGGCTGCAGTGAGGCCACTATACTGTAGCCTGGGCAACAAAGTGAGACCCTTTCTCCAAAAAACATAAACTGGAATCTGTATTTAATAGTGAATGATGCTTATTCTGTCCTCATCTTAAAGAACACACTATTAAGGTACATTAAAATATATCATTACCAATTTCTTATTTATGCAAATTATAAATAATAAGTAAGAAATTTATTTTACTTGTATAACATTTTATTTCATGAAGTATGCAAAATGATTTTTTAAACTCTTCAGAGAAATTACTAGTTTTAAAAATACAAAGATCCGGCTCGGCGCCTGTGGCTCAAGTGGCTAAGGCGCCAGTTACATACACCTAAGGTGGTGGGTTCAAATCCAGCCCGGCCCGCCAAACAACAATGACAGCTGCAACCAAAAAATAGCCAGGCATTGTGGCAGGCACCTGTGGTCCCAGCTACTTGGGAGTCTGAGGCAGGAGACTCACTTGAGCCTAGCATCGCTTCTCGGCCTTTTGGCTAAGATCAAGTGTGGAGCCTAGGAGTTAGAGGTTGCTGTGAGCTGTGATGCTACAGCACTCTACCCAGGGAGACAGCTTGAGGCTCTATCTGAAAAAAAAAAAAAAAAAAAAACAAAGTTCATACATACTCATACAAATGGCAAAACATAACTATAGTCCAGAAAGTAGAAGGGAAGAGAAGAGAGAGGGGAGGGGAGGGGGGATGTGGGAGGAAGGAGGGCATTTGGTGGGACCTCACCTAATAATGTGCATGAAGCAATGGTACATTTTAAAACTATTAAGAAATGAGTATAATTGTGACGGATGTGTACAATGTATACATTTCACATTGTATATCAAAGCAGTATCCTGAACTCATTGGAGCAGGGATGTACCCTGATGTACCATAAATACATCAGTGTACAAAGTTATGATTTAATAAAAAATTAAAAAAATAAAAATACCAAGTATACCTTCTATGAATGTTAATGATGTTAGTGATATAGCTGTTTATTATCTCACTCAAAATGGATCAACACCAGTGAACTTTGAGTATAATAGCATTTAATCAATGAGTCAGGAGCTGGGTGCAGTGGCTCACTCTTGTAATCCGAGCACTTGGGAGGCTGAGGCGGGTGGATTGCCTGAGCTCCTAAGTTTAAGACCAGCCTGAGCCAGAGTGAGATGACCCTCCTCCCCAAAAAATAGCCGGGTGTTGTGGCCAGCACCTATAGTCCCAGCTACTTAGGAGGCTTAGGCAAGAGAATTGCTTAAGCCCAAGAGTTTGAAGTTGCTGTGAGCTGTGATGCCTGGCACTCTACTGAGGATGACAAAGTGAGACTTTGTCTCAAAAAAAAAAAAAAAAAAAAAAAAAGAATCAGAATAGGCCATTACTAGATACTATAAAAACAAGTATTAAAGTTTACTTTCTCTCCATTAATGCCTTTCAATATTTAAAGCTTTATACTTACAGATACAAGCCAAACTATACTTTCTATCATTCCCTCAGTAGAATAATTAGTAACTATAATACTATAAATTTAATATCTGGGCTTGGCACCTGTGGCTCAAGGGGCTAAGGTGCCAGCCACATACACCTAAGGTAGTGGGTTCAAATCCAGCCCAGGCCCGCCAAACAATAATGATGGCTGCAACCAAAATAAATAGCCAGGCATTGTGGCAGGTACCTGTGGTCCCAGCTACTTGGGAGGCAGAGGCAGGAGACTCGCTTGAGCCCAGGAGTTAGAGGTTGCTGTGGGCTGTGATGCCACAGCACTCTACCCAGGGGGACAGCTTGAGGCTCTGTCTCAAAAAAAAAAAAAAAAATTTAATACCTGACCTTCAGTGTGGCAAAGTCCAGGAACTGGATTAATTAAAACCAGATTACAAAGACATCTATTGAATAACATTAATTAAGGGACTGTATGTTCTAGGCTGAGATAAATACTGGGGGTCTGATAAACAATTCATGTGTGTACTTGTTATTCATCTACATTTGCTGCCTCACAAATGTATGGGCTGGACTGGACTGTTCAAGAAATTCTTTCCTGCTTTGAACTGGTCACAGAGAATATGGAAGGACCAGTGTGTAATTGGTGTAGTGGTGTGCAGATTGACCACTGTGGCAATGGCCTGATAAACAGAGCTCCACAGTGCCGTGTCCCTGGGAGATGTCCAGACTGAGCCTGGCTTCAGTCAAAGTTTTGTGCTTGAGTCAGGATGTACCTGGACCAGGAATGTACCCTGAATGTCTGATAATAGATGCTGATATTTTTCTTGTAGTTTATTCCTCATAAACATAGCTATATCTCGTATCTCCTTTGTTTTATGTCTTCTATAAATTATAGATAAAAGGCTTTTCTCTCTTGTACCAGAAAAAATTAAAGTTTAAAAATAGATTATTTATTGTAAGCATAAAAAAAAATAGTTTGGAGGTTGAAGGATTCCTTAGTAATGGTTGGGAAGAAGGAACGGGGGAAAATTCCAAAAAAAATATAATTGATAGAATTGAGAATAGAAATTGACCTGATAAAGGACTAGTAGAATTATATCTATAAGTGTTTCTAGTTTTGTGAGAAACTTTAGAGAAATTACTCTTATTTCCTTGTATAGATTTTCCTGCATAGATTTTTATAAAAACTTTTATTTTTTTCTCCCTTTCCTGGTTTACAGGTGCTACTTTTACTGACTGGTTTACTTCTTATGTGAACAATGTTGTTTCTGGTGGCTTTCCTATCATCAGAGACCAAATTTTCAGGTATTTCATTTGGGGCTTTTTGGATTGAAATGATTATAAATCAGAAAAAAAATCCATCAGTCACAAATCATGAAATGATACTTCCTAAGAAGGTTAATAACAGCACCTCTCATTGTCTTAAATCTCACTATTTTATTCTCACTACAAAGCCAAAACATTCAAACACTTAAACAGCTGATATTTTTCTTATTGTGAAGAAGCAAGAGAAAAAACTGATGCTAATTTAAAAGCTTTGGCTTTCTAGTAGTTACATACTTTTTTTTTTTGAAAAAAACAAAACACAGTTTGCAAATGATACATTTATTATGCATAGCAAATCAGTAACTATTAATTCCTAGCATATATTATTTATTATCACCAACTGAACTTTCAGGCATTGTGGATAGTATTAGAGGTAATAATTGGTCACAATATCCGGGTTGGCAGAAATGATAGATTAATTATATGTTAGAGGCTTCTGAGAACAACATACTAACACATTTTTGTTGTCGGAGCCACCATTCAACAGGTATAGCTGGGTTTTCAGATGTCTCAAAAGTTTCTGAATCTCTGAAAACTAAGACAAACCCTGTTTCCAAACTAATCAGTAATCTATTATTTGAACCACCAATTATTGGACCTTGCTTACTGTAAATTACTGAGGCAGAGTCACCAAGGTTTTCTGATTTGTTTCTAGTTTTCTTTAAATTTAGTAGGACTAAAATTTTTCATCTTAAAGTATAAGCTATTTTGCATTATATCTTTTACCTGAAGTTAGTTGATTTAAAAGTGTTTAATTTTTTAAATTCCTAGATATATTCATGATCCAGAGTGTGTTGCAACAACTGGGGATATTACAGTTTCAGTTTCCACATCATTTCTGCCAGAACTTAGCTCTGTACATCCACCCCACTATTTCTTCACATATCGGATCAGGTGAGAATTTTAAATGGAGTCACCTTTCAGTTAACAGTGGGATATATCCTATGGATGTATTGCTGTTGTCCCATTGGTGTTAGATATAACACACTTTTTAAAAGAGCTTGTTGCTTAAGTTTAGGGAAAGGTGGAAACATTTTATACAACATAATGTTCATAAAGAACCTTGACTTCACATTAACCTGTAAGTTATTTAAGTTATTTCTTACAGATATTCTTGGGTATAAAGTAGTATACCAGATACCATGGGAAGTGGACCACTTAAGTTGTAATCATCATCAGAGCTTGAAGTTGTAATGCATTCTAGAAGCTATCAAATTGCCAAAGATAAAACCATACATTTTATAGTTTGTTTTGTATGGAACCAGAAAAAACCCTGTATAGCCAGGGCAATTTGTAATAATAAAAACAAAGCTGGAGGCATCACTCTATCAGACTTTAGGTTATATTACAAGTCATCAGTGACCAAAAGAGCATGGTATTGGCACAAAAACAGAGACATAGACATATGGAACCAAATAGAAAACCAAGAGATGAAGCCAGTCTCTTATAGCCATCTGATCTTTGATAAACCAAACAAAAGCATACACTGGGGAAAAGAATCCTCATTCAATAAATGGTGCTGGGAGAACTGGATAACCATATGTAAAAGAATGAAATTGGACCCACACCTTTCATCACTCACAAAAATTGATTCAAGATGGAGAACAGATTTAAATCTAAGGCGTGAAATGATAAAAAATTCTAGAGGAGAGTGTGGGAAGAACTCTTGAAGATGTCAGTGTTGGGAAATATTTTATGAAGACTTCAATGGCAATTGCAACAACAACAAAAAACAAATGGGACTTAATTAAACTGAAAATCTTCTGCATAGCTAAGGACACAACAACTAATGCAAATAGACAACCTTCAGAATGGGAAAAGATATTTTTGCATGTTATGAATCTGACAAGGTCTTGATAAGTAGGATCTATAGAGAACTCAAGTTAATCAACAAAAAACGAACAAACTGGCTCGGCGCCTATAGCTCAACCGGCTAAGGCACCAGCCACGTACACCTAAGGTGGCAGGTTCGACTCCCCAGCCCAGACCCGCCAAACAACAATGACGGCTGCAACCAAAAAATAGCCGGGCGTTGT